TTAAAAGAGTGTGTCGCTATTGTTTCTCCTTAAACTTATAACATAACTAATTTATCCGCCAATTTTGGGAGAACAGAATGAAACCTGGCATTGCTGATAAGGCGGAATTTGATCCAAAAGACATCAGTGAATTGGTCGCAGTCCTCTGCATCCATTGGCTTACACCTGCAGAGAAGAATCAAATAAAATTGATGACCAGAATCCGAAAAAAAATTAAAAAATAAATATAGAATTGGCGAAGTGAGGAATGAAGTTACTCTTCGACTTCTCCATAGGATGAAAACAGTTTCAGCAAATCACTCCCACATCCCAATTCTGGAACGTTCCTCACAATCAAATATCTGCACCCTCCAAACAAAATGATTAAAAATATAGTTTTTTGGACTGAAAAAGAAAAATTGAAGTGAGGAAAGAAAGAAGGACCTTGATTCGTCACAGACAGTGTAGACCCGAACTGCAGGGGACTCGTCCTTGTAACGAGGCATCTTTTAATTGTCTGTTGAAAGGGCAAAGAAAAAAAGAGGTTTATAGGAATATGCAAATGGTAGAAAGTAGGGTTAGGTTAAGAATTTGGGAAATTAATTAGAATTAGAATACATTATAAGATGAATGCATGTAGAAATTGAAGGATCAAAGTTAATTAAGGAGGAGCCAAAGAGGAGAGAAGAGAGCGTAGGGTATATTTATAGAGTTAATTGTATGTGATTTACTTATTTAATTAAATAAATAAAAAAAGTACTATTAATAAATTTGAGTGATTGTCAATATAAAAAATTTTATATCAATAATATGTGATTAACTCATATTTATATTAAAAAACTCAAGAGACCAAAGGAATGGTTGTGTTTTATCGAGACAACGTGGATCAAATTAGTAAGTTTTGACTATCACATTTTAATTAAAAAAATTCTAAATAAAATTGTTATATTTAATTTTTATATATTATATAATTAATTATATTATTTAAGAATTCAAATATTTTATATAATATATTAATAATAATGTAAAGGTTGCTTACATTATTATTTGTTAAGCTTGTTATTTTATAATTATTAATATTTTAACTTGTTTATTATATAAATTAAAATAATAAATAAATAAATATTTTTATATATAAGTTATATTTTAAATTTATTATAAGTAAATTATTTTGTTATATAAAACTCTTTTAATCATTCACAATTTTTTAAATATTATTAAAATGCAATGAAAAATAAAAATGGTAAATTAAAAAAAATGATTAAAAAAATTTAAAATAAACATAACCCTTAATAAAAATTCTAAAAAAATATCTCATTAAAAAAAAAAACTCCCTCAAATTTTTCTCTTTCCTAAATGTAAGATGACACTTCATCCAAACGTAATTTTCAACACTTGAAATATAAACATTGATTAACAATAAATAATAATCCATAATTTAGAGAGTTAAAAGATTTATCCATAACATATTATAACATTACTTCCTTATTATTTAGAAATTAAAATAAATAAAGTTAAATTTTGAAAGACAACTATTTACAAAAAAAATTAGGGTTTAGGATTTATTAAACACAACTTTGATTTTTAAATTTGAAAAAAAATACCTTAAAATGATAAATAGATAAGTCATGCTTTAAAACACAATTTTAACAATAAATTTGGCGTGTAATAAACGCAACTTATCCATTTCCCAACTTTTTTAAAAAATTACTCATTGTAGGAATTTTGAAACAAAATTGTACCATCAAAACAAAAACACCTTAAAACTACACTCTAAGATTTAAGATTCAAAAGAAGGTCAATTTTAAGGTGATCGCAATAAAAACCTAAATAGTTATGATACCTATAAAAAATAAATAATTGAAAAATAATAATACAACTTTAAAGTTACGTTATTTTATTTCATAGTTCTAATTTATAACATAATTTAATGGTATTGTAATTTTTTTACTTAATGTATAAAAATAATTTAAATTGATAATATATAAAAATTAAACTAAGATAAGGCAATAAACTCTAGTACACAACTAAGAAAAAAAATAGTAAATCATTCCTCAATTTTATATGACACAGTCTAAGCCTTTAGTAAATAGTTATAGAGTCTATTTTAGGACATGAGGGTCAATATGGTATTTTCAAGTTCAATTCTCATATTTAATTCTTGGTTTTTTATTATCAATTTTGAAACATGGTGTAGACTATGTTCATGAATAAAAAGAAAAAAAAATAAAACACAATCTTCAAAGTTTCTTAGTCATTGCATAAGTCATTTTAAAAAAATCATTGTATGCATGTCTAATCAATGTGAGATCTTAACGCACATTACTTAGTCTGACTAGACATCACAAGACTAAAGTTTGCAAGATTGGAAATTTATATATGATTAATTTTATAAGAATTTAAGAGACAAAATAAGAGTCTCTAATATATGAAAAATGATAAATTAATTTTTATTTTTTCTTTTTGTTATTCAATTTATACCTTATTATTACTTATCGAGATTTAAGTGCGTTTGTTTGCAAGTACATTATTTCTCCCCAAGAATCATATTTTTAGGAGTATTATTATTGAAATATTATTTTTGGAATATTTTAAAATGTGTTTGGTGGCATTTTAACATTCTTAGAAATATTTTAACATTTTAAATTAATTAAATTAAAAAAATGTGTTGAAAAAGTTTGTTAAAACATAACTATCCACATTTTTATGGAAACACAACTTTCCTATCCTCCACTATGAGAATTAAAGTGAAGAGAATCATATTATAACTACTTTATCAAAAATAAATTATACTCAAAAATATTTTTTTAAAATTCTAAATAAATATGGAAATATGACATTCCCAACTCAGTGAATTTTCAAGAATAAGTCTTTAATATGTGAAACACATTCTCAAACATTAATATTGCTATTTAATTTTTAAATTATGAATCAGAATGCTATGTGTCACGTTAATAACGACATGGTTTATGTGTCTCTCTATGTTTATAAACAATATATGACATGTTACTAGATATCAAAATGATAATAAAATAAGTTTTATCACTCAAATATAATAAGGTGATATTCCTTAAGTAGTTAAATAATTTTAACCACTAAATTATTATGTTCATTCACTTAATAATTTACAAATTTTATTTATATACGCTTGAATATAAATCTTACACAATATTTAATGAATCTCAATAGCACACACATGATAACTTGTATTAAAAAAAATCATTTTGAACTTATAAAATAATCAAATTATGAATGTGGTAATAAGATTTTCATGTTAGTTTAGTATACTAATGATCTTTAACAATAGTATATTACTAAAAAGTATATATAAAAAAATATATATATATATATATATATATATATATATATATA